CTGCCAGGCCCCCCGCGGGGCGCCCACCTTGATGACCTGCCCCTCCTTGAAGGGCAGCTCCTCCTCCGCGGCGTCGGGGTTCGGGGACATGCTGAGCGGGTCGTAGTCGAACAGGGCGACGAAGATGCGCGCGGGGAGCTCCTCGGCGCCGGGGTCGGTCTCGGACTCCTCGTAGAAGTCGGGGGAGAGCCGGTCGCCGCCGGCGCGGTCCTCTGGGGGCGGGAGGCATACGGGCCGCGCTGGGCACCCCCGCCGGACCCCCGGGGCCCGGACATGCTCGCTTCGCCCCGTTTAAAGCCTGTGGCTGGCGCATGGGCGCAGACGGCCGCCTCGACCCGGGGTGTGCAAAGCGGACACCCTCAGCCGGGGCCCGAATGGACACAGGACCGAGCTCCCTCCCGCGGGCAGCCCCGCCCCGTGCTGCTGGACGTCCCGCGCCCTGCTGGTCCCCCTGCGGCCACACTGGGCCAGAGGCCCGTCTCCACGACGGGCGAGCCAGAGCCCACCCGGGGCTTCGAATGCATTTGTGCATGAGCCACAGGGGGACGGAGCGGGACGCAGTGACCCAGCTGTTCACGCAGCTCCAAGCAGCCGAGGGCAAGAGCTGCAGCCCCCACTAGCGAGCGCGGCTCCCACCCATCCCAGCTGCAGGCGGTGATTCTTTCTGAAATCTCGGTGTCAGTGCACAGCCCACACTCGACAGGCTGCAGCCGCGCATCCAGACCGTCTGTGCCACCTAGAGGAGTGTCCGCCTAGGGGAGTGTCCGCCTAGAGTGTCCGCCTAGGGGAGTGGCCACCTAGGGGAGTGGCCACCTTGAGGAGTGTCCGCCTAGGGGAGTGTCCACTTAGAGGAGTGTCCACCTAGGGGAGTGTCCGCCTAGAGTGTCCGCCTAGGGGAGTGTCCGCCTAGGGGAGTGTCCGCCTAGGGGAGTGTCCGCCTGGGGGAGTGTCCGCCTAGGGGAGTGTGCACACGGAGAGGGAGAGCCAGCACCATCACCTGCTGGCGGATCGCAAGGTCCCATCACTGGGGAAGCAAACGAGGAGAGCTCCAGCCGGGAGGAGGGGGCAGGTTGGGACAGAGCAGCCAGCGCTCGGTGACCAGCACGCAGCCCATGAGGCGGGACAACGGTGTCACAGGTGTGTGGAAAGACACAACCAAGCCGTTGGCTTCTGTCACCAGCAGAAACATTTAGCTGGAAAATTGAAAGCACCCGAGCTGCAGGAAAGGCAGATATTCCGAGTGCCGGGAGCTGCTGACCTTATTGAAACTGGGACCTTTTCAGGACGCTCGGACAGCTCAGAGGGCAGTAAGCTACCTTCTGCGAGGCAGCAAAACCTGAACAGCAGCCTCTTCCGTTTCTTCACACGGATTCTAGTTTTGTTTACAGTGAATGGCAAGAGCTCGTGTGTTTTCTAGTTTCCAACATTATCTAAATAGTGTGTCTCCTCGTTTTTGGTGCCTGCTGAGCGTGATTCACTTTTGTCTTCTGAAAATATAACAGGACGTTCGATGTGAGGATGCTTATTAATAGGTTTTGTTTATCTTGTGCCTTTTCTGCTGCCTTTTTGCCACAACTGACAGCTTTCTGTACTTAGATGAAAATGCTTTTCCCAGTCATTTTCTTAAATGTTTAGATTGAGGACTGAGCAGTCACGTGCCCTGTGGCTGAAAGACAAAAGAGGCACTAACCGATGGACGGGACCACCCCCGGCCGGGTCCGATGAGGGCCAGTGCCGCCCTGGGGAAACCTCCGGCCCACGCGATCCCCACGATCGGCCCGTCCTGCTCCTGCAGACGCTGGGTTTCCTAAAATCTGAAGACAAAGCACCAAAGTCATAAGTCTTGCCAGCCCTGGGGACACAAGAATCAAGTCAGCAGCCAAATCAACTTAATTTAGAAGCAGAAGCTGTAAAGGCAACTAAACTTAGCTTTTAACTGAAAGGTTAGCTGAATGGCCTGGAAGACAAAGCTGCTCGCCCCAGGCACCCCAACTTCCACAGCAGAGTTGCTTTTCAACACCTGGGGAGGAGGGGGAGGGAAATAATTCCTTGGGGGGCACCTTTGTGTTGCTGCTCCTGCTGCAGAAGCCAGAAATTCTGACCGAAAGTGAGAACGGCTTCCCTACGACTCATTGCCCCGATGGCCCCTTTGACCACGTACAACCCTGACCTACAGGTCCTCCTCCAACGATCACAACTTGGAAAAACGCTGCGTGGCCACGGTCCCACTGGGACAAAGCTGTATGTGAGGTTATGGAAGATTCAAAGACAGACGTTTCTGGGTGTTTGAAACTCTGAAAACACGGGTCACATTCGGGGCTGACCTGAAGGACTGTCCTGCGTGGATGTGCCTCTAGCATGCTGAAGGTGAGCAGCGTGTCAGAGGATCAGGGAAAGCCTCCGGCTCCCTGGGAAGTAGTTTGAGTTGGGAAATTCTCAGGGACCCAGGGAAGGAACGGCGCTTCTGGGTTCCGGAGATAAGAGGGCTTGTTACAGGCGGGCACAGGCTGTGGGGTCCCCAGTGAAGTGTGGGGTGTGGGCTAGAGCCCTCTTGTGGACAGATCGCAAACTGCACGGGCTGAGGGCCCGGCCTTGGCGGCCTGAGACGGACCTAGGAGCAAACGCTCCGGGACAGCGCAGTGCGGGGATGAATGAAGCTCCCCGCAGCCTAGAGCTGGTGATGGAAAAAGCAGCCTCAGAACTGGATGCAGGGGGTTAAGAAAAGCCTCTGGAGACTATGCTAAAATGGGTCTTCGACAATCGCTTTTTTTCTTTCCCGATTTCGGATGAAGGCCAGACAGCAACAACAAACACAAAAGCACAAGAGGAAAGCTTCCAATACCGGTCGTCATAAATCGGCCCCTACGTTCGTTTCTAAAAAGCCTGTGTTGTCAGGCTCGCAGGTGATCAGTTCAGCTAACCCTTAATTAAAATTTAGATTCAGTTGTCCTTTAACTGAAGCAGCCACAGTCATCGCTGATTGGGGGGGAGGGAATCATCATTCGAAAGCAAAATAAAGGAACCTTCAGCATGGTGAAAGGACCGGGAAGCAATGGGCAGTAAACCAAGCGCATGGAGGACGAGGGTAGGCGGCCGAGTCCCGGGAGCACCGACATAAAGAGGCGCAGGGAAGGATGCAGACGGGTTGGTCTGGCAAGCGGAGGCGAGGAGGGCTCACGTCACACACCAAGGGGCCGTCTGCGACCCGGGGAGGTGCCTGTGCGTGTTGGGCGGTCGCCCTACTGTGGGGCGTTTTTGTGCTTTTCTTCCAGACTTCGGGACCCATGGGCTGGTCCCAGCCATACTTCCTGGGGGCGGACCTCTCCGGGCTCAGGCGGCCGTCGTCATTCCTGAGGGCGGGGCCTGTGTCCACCTGCTCCCCAAAGTCCTCTTCGATGCTGGTCTGCCGGGTCAGCGTCCGCCGCCTGGCCAGCAGGGGCCTGAGGCTCCTACAGGGACAGAGCCCGGGGCCTGGGCTGCCCGAGGTGGCTGTGTTCCTGAAACTGACCCGCGGGCCCTCTTCTTCACTCCCACAGTCCAGGCCGCTGTCTGGGCTCCTGGTGGCTGAGCGGCTGACCCGACAGCCTCTGTCTTCATGAAGGAAGTCCTCGGCGTGGGGGCCTGCTGCAGGGCCCTTGGGTTTCGCGGGGAACCAGGAGCTCTGCGGAGCCTCGTGTCCCCTGCAGGGCCGGGCGGGCCTGGCCTCCCAGGCCCTGGACGAGCACCCTAAGCCCTGTCTGCGCAAGAACTCACAGTGCTCTGGGTCCTCCTCGGCTACTTCGGGGATACTGAACAGTCTCGTACTGTGCGGGGCCTGCAGGGGGCCCTCGGGCTGCTCCAGGAAAGCCCCTTCAGAGGTCCTATGCTTATAGCACTCCTAAGGGGACACGTGTGACAAACAGTGTGTGAGCAGACATGAAGTGGGTGAGGGAGGGAAAGAAAACACAGACAGCATTAGTCTCGGAGGCCACAGGGAGAGGCATGCTGCTGGGGAGGGGGAGGGGCATGCTCCTGCCGGGCTCTGAAATGGGAATGGAGTGGGTGAGAGGACGGAGCCGGGCAGCAGCCGGGAGCAGGGGCAGACCATGCACTGAACCAGGGTGGTGGGTGGGGCTGGGAGCAGCTGGGTGGCACAGAGGCAGGGTGCTGCCCATGGACCAAGCTGCTTGGTTCTGTGAGCTGCCTGTGCCCAGAGCACCTGGGAGATCTAGGCCCTACCGCCCACTGGCTGTGCCCACAACCTCAGGACAGCTGCCACTGGACACAGGGTGTGACTGAGCCAAGTCACAGAGCAGTTCCTGTCCATTCATTCTATTCCTAATTTAGCTGAACTCCTTTCCCACCCTGCTCCGGATCACCTCTCTCCCAGCTAAAATGTAAGGGTGACACTGGGACCTGGTCACTCGGCACTGTGGCCTTGCTCTGGGACCAGTGCCTGCTCCACTGTCTTGCCCGTCAGTGTCTGCAGAGGCCTGCAGGTCCGCCCGACCCTCCTCCAGGTCCTGGACTTCAAGGCTACCAAGGGCCCCAGGGCCTGGCCCCATGTTGGCTCACCAGGAAGGTGTGCTGGGGTCTGCACGGCCCTGCCCGACTGTTCACCCAGCCTCAGCCTCTGCTGCCCTGCTGGGCACCGAGGGGGTGTCTCTGCTCTGGGAAGACTGACCCTCCAGGCCAGGGTTTCCCCCCCGGCCTCTAGGGAGCTCATGGGACAGACCGCATGGGAACATTATAATCTGCTGACCTGCTGTGTCCACATGGGCCCGCAGGCTCCATGAGCACATGGTGTGGCAGTTCACAGGTGCAGCATCTGCCACGTGTGTGGGGCCCACTGAGCCCAGGTGAGCAAGTGAAGGGGCAGGCACCCTACCTGCTGAGAACATCCCCCACTGGCTAACGGGACAGCAAGGGCATCAGTTCTGAGAACATTATGGTGAAAACAACTATGGTGGAGAGCAGGGGTCTCCGGAACCGTTCCCGGGCCAGCAGGGACGTGCGGGCGACTGGACTATGCCAGCCGGGAAACAGGCTCCACCGCAGCTCGGGGAGCCCGGTGTGGCAGGTCCCAAGCCCTGTCTCGGAATTTCTAGAGAAGTCGGAAATCCAGATCAGCCTGCGAATCTCCTGATTTTAAACGTGAGAGCACCAACAAACTCGTGACCCTGCAGCTGTCAGTGGCCCCAACTCCTGCCACCCTGTGCCCCACTTCCTACCAGCCGTGATGTCCCACTCAGCTGCTCCCAAGGGGGTGGGGGCTGTGCTTGTGGGGGTGGGACATGGCCATGGGGTTTTCTAACGACCTTGCTTGCCCTCTGGGCCTCCTCCCTGGGAGAGAAGTGGCCGTTTGCTCCTTTGGCTCAACAGTTCTCAGGAAGCACCATCCCGGGAGCTTCCCCACAAGAAGAAACATGGTGACAGCGGGAAACCCATGTGCCCTTCACCTGCCCGGCTATGAGCACTCGGGCGTCTGGGGGAGGTCAGACTGGCCCCTCCGGGGCAGCTTGGGGCCTCTCTCCCTCAAGAAAGGCTCCTGAATCCCGCTGGGTGGGTGGGAGCTGGTGGGGGCAGGGTGAGGAGCCAGCGAGAGGAGCGGGAGCTGCAACCGTGCGGGTTTGCATAGGGACCGCGTGTTCTTGGCGCCGGCCTTTGCGGGAGAACAGCCGTCAGTCTTCCTATGCAAGGACACACTGGGTTGGCAGCCAGATTCGGGTGTTGCCTTCTGTCCACCATTCAAAATGCATGACTCTGAACTAGAGAAGCGCCGCGGTTGGCCCTTTCTCCCCCAGCGTGAGTCTCCTCTCCAAAGCCTTTTCCATCCAAAAAGCCCACATGGGTCCTACCAGCTGTCCAGCCTTTTGTCTGTCTCCCCTACAAGGTTGGGAAGGGCTAGAGGGCAGGGGTCATGTCCATCCTTGCACCCGCACCCCGAGGTGACCAGCCCACACTGCCCGGCGGCTGAATAAACGCCTGAGCCAGAGCAGCCAGCAGCGTGGTGGACTGTGCCCCAGACAAGGACAGGGGACACACACAAGGGCCAGCCTCCCACCAGGCTCCACGTCCATGACTGTGACCTTCCAGCAAACCCCCGGCTGACAGCCACACCAGAGGATGCCAAGGGCACGGTCTCTGGTGGGAGGTGCCTAAGAAGGGCTCGTGTGTGGGCCCCACTGCCCTCCCAGCCCTCCCACCCTCCTGCAGGGCTCAGCTCAGTTGTGGGACCCCCGCAACCCCCCAGCCAGCCCCAGGTGTCCCGATCCCCAGCTCTGACTCGGGACCCCTGCTCCCCCGGCTGCCGACCCTCAGGATGGGCGCTCAAGGCCAGGCGCGGGGTGTGGGGCCTTCATTGCTCGACTCCTTCCCACTCGATTCCTGGTGCCACATGGATTCTCCCAAACTCCCTCACCCAGACTTTTTGGCAGAGAGGACAGACCAAAAGGAAGGACAGGGGATCCCCGGATGCAAATTCAATGGTGAGAAGAAGCCAATCCAGATCGATGGGCTTCCAGGGGCAGCAAGGCGAGGCCCCCTGGAGCCACCCACAGCCCCAGCAGAGGGCAGGACCAGGGAGGGAGCCCGTGTGGCCACTGACCTTGAGGGCGCCGTGGGTCGTGCCGCTGGGCCGCCGGCGGCCCCCGCCCTCCAGCTGCATCTCCGAGCACAGCTCCTCCTCGTCTTCCTCCATGATGTCGGAGAGGTCGGAGCCGCGGCTGCTCTCCGTGTGGTACTCGTCTCCGTGGCAACAGTGTGGCTGGGGCAGGGGGATCGCGGGAGCATCTCCTCAGTGCCGTGTGCCCCCCCCGTGCCCGCCCTCCTCTGCTAACTCGTGAGCTGCGTCCACACACTCGTGAGGTCGCCAAGGCACAGGCCTTGTGACATCTCAGCTTCCCAGACCGACCGAGGCGGCTGTCACACGCCTGG